TAAATAATATTGTAGTCGATTCTAGTCAAGCGTTTTTATTTAAATATTAGCTGCACCTTTAGACACAAATGATGATAGGATGACCTGCTCTGAATTCTTTTTGACCTTGTGTTTCTGTTGGCGGATGCTACATAAATCTGCAGAGTCTGAATCTCCACCTAAACAGCTTCATGTGACAAAACCTCCCGGGAGTATTCATTGCACACATTAGCACAACAATCCCCAATGTGTAAGCAGCTCTCCGTGGGCTGACTCACATGCATGTATGTAGGTCAGAGCTGCAGTGAGCCGTGTGCAGAGCTGGGGTTTCTCCTCTGTCTCTGATAAAGGGGCAGAAGGCAGCACGCGAGCTCCTCCAGGCTATGGACGAACTCACGAGGTTAAAAATAGATTACCCTACTGCCTTCAAAATGATGATTCATGGAAACATATTGTGTTTTTAAATAGAGATGTATAATATTTTCATTTGTCAGATATGATTCACAGTTTTTAGCTTTACTTATTATTATTATTATTATTTATTGTCTTTATCTAGCCAAGGGAAGCCTATGTATGTGTGTGTTTTTATTGGTAGGAATACCCAGAGCATCCACTTGAAACTATTTGGGAAGAACAGGCAAAACCTACATCTACATTTTAGCCATCTGGCATAAACAGGCATTAAAGGTATATAAGGTGTTCCAAAATAGAGCTTACTGATGGTTTTCACATATTAAAACATCTACGCTGCCAGGGCCACAGTGGATAACAGTCAGTCATTCAGATCATTCAGACAGGTGCATTTAATCCTACTCAAAATGTATTGATCCACAAGGGAAATGATTATATACACAGTAGCTCACACATCACAGTAAATATAATAACAAAGAGCAAAAATATAAATGATAATAATACAAAATAAGTATCAAAAATAGCAAGGGACTGATGTCAAATAAGGCATAATTATTGTATTGATGATTAAATAGTGATTGGGAAAGGGTTATCTATTACATAAACATTTAGCATAGGTTTGACAGAGTTGCTATTTCTTCTGTATCATACCTGAATGTTTGTTATTCAGGTTTTGATGGCATTATTGATATTGCATTAGCTGTCAAAACAAAATGTTACTTATTTTCATTTGGACCATTTCAGAAACAAATGTTGGTTTGAGGCCCCTGAGCCACAGTTTAGACTTTCCTGCAATACAGGCTTGCTTCACAAAGAGTATATTGGCTTGTGCCATACCTGCCCTGTTTCAGTTTGTTTTTCTTTGCCCTCTTTGGATTTTTTGATTATTTTAGGTCCTTGACTGATTGCAAGTGTTCCTCTAGTACAGGGGTGTCAAACTCAAATTCACAAAGGGCCAAAATTAAAAACTGGGACTAAGTCGTGGGCCAAACTAAATATTTATTGAAAAATTTCAACAGCATCTGCATGTTTTCGCTTTTTTCAAGATATGTAATGTTAAACCTTTTCTTATTAAAATAAATGTTTAATAATGTTTTTTGCTTAAACGCTGAATCCAGAACAAGCATAATCTAAAATAATAACACCATTTTAAATACATACAGCTCTAATACATATTTGATATGATCTCACAGGCCAAATACCAGCTTGTAAAAGCCTGATCCCGTCAGATCTCAGAAGCTAAGCTGGCTGGGCCTGGGTAGTACTTGGATTGGAGACCACTGGGAATTCCAGGTGCCACAGTGGGGCGCCAGTGGCAAAAAAACTGTTGTTGTGTCCTTAGGCAAGACACTTCACCCACATTGCCTAGTATGAAAGTGGTGTGAGCGTGAGTGATAGTGGTGGTTGGAGGGGTCGATGGCGCAGATTGGCAACCTCGCTTCCGTCAGTCTGCCCCAGGGCAGCTGTGGCTACAGTAGTAGCTTACCACCACTGAGTGTGGAGTGATTGTAAAGTGCTTTGGGTATCTTGAAAGGCGCTATATAAATGCTATCAATCAATCAATCAAATATAATTATATATCGGCCAAATCTGGCCCCCAGGCCTGAGTCTGACATGCCTGCTCTAGTATTTTTAGTTCAACTGTTCAACATATTTTGGAATTTATATATTTTTTAAACTGAGCCCATTTTAATTGATCACAAACCTACAAAGAGGGCTGTATAGTCATGTTTAATGCAGTTATTTCTCACACTGATGTGCTCAAAACAAAATATCAGTGTGAAGTACAAATAATGTTCAACTGATATATCGACCTGCCAATGTCTAATTGACCTCACATTGTCACTGATTAGCCTATAGTTCTGTGGTATTATACTGTATGCAATCCTCCCATGTGTGTTGTGTTCACATGTTTGCGTGCTGTGTTGTATCTGCATATGCCCACGTGATCAGGGAGAGCCACAACTGGACTCTGCATCCACCTAATCTGCCTCAGATCAGATTTAGACTCTTAGCATGTGGGCTATACCCACCTATAATCAGGGACAGGCTTTTCAGGGTCATGATCTGTTCAAAAATATATATTTTTATTATATATTGTTAAAGAGTGAAATAAAAAATAAAATACCTCAATCAATCAATGAAAATGAGCAAAAAGATAGCTTACTAATAGTGCTACTTCTGGATTGTGCAATAATAGCTGGTCAAATCTGCTATTGCTTTGTTTGGAATCTTCCCCTACCAGAAAAGATAAATAGTGCATCTTTAACGGTGCACTGCACAACTTTTCTGGTCGAGGGTCTGCTACCTGCTTGTCTCCATGGAGATGTTATTGCGTTTATTTATTACAGATGTTTTTACTGCTCAAAAACACAATAAATCCTTCTCTGAACGTGAGCAATTCTCCACAAATTGTAATGTAGTGTAGTGCTGTAACTTGCTTGTCTCCCTCATGGTTTCTGTACTGGACTGTAGAACATTTGAGTCAGTTTCACTAGAAATGTTACACAGTGCACCTCTAACTAATAACCCTAACCCTAACCTAAACATATCAATGGTTTAAAAAAAAATATATTGAAGCTATAAAGTGATTGGTTAAAATAATGCTATAGTTTATTCTAGTCAAGCCTTTTTATTGTTTAGTTGTACTTTCGGGCCGATGCCATTTCTTTCCTGTAAATGTGATTAGCTGAGCCTCATCAGCCTGCAGCCGTTTACTGTATGTGCCAGTGAAACCACAGGCCTGACTAAAGCTGACTCAGCCTTTAGAGTCAATGTCGAGTCATGTTACAGTCAGAGCAGTGGGGCAGGGGAATAAGCCCATCACTGCACAATGCTACGATATGTGATCCATGTAGGATTTTTAGCACTTCTTGGAAAAAATGTAAAAATGCAAAATTGACTCTTGTGAGCTTTAAGCCATGTTATAATGTTTTTACCTCACTGAAAACATAAATGGAGTTGTGTTTTGTTTCATTCACTCCAAAGCTAAAAATGCTCTCTTCCAACTTGTGATGTCGTGAAGTGGTAGTTTCCAAGTTAACTGTTGTCTTTTACTTTTTGTTCAGTAGAGCTTGGCAAATTATGAGTTTAAAAACATAGTGGAGCATTATCTGTAGTACTACATGACATCACAAGGTGGAACAGAGTGTTATGGAAGAACAACCTAAATATGCAGAGTTTATGTGTTAAACGTGTGTGAATGAAACAACTCTAGGTATGTTTTTGATGAGGAAACAACATTAGAACATAGATCAGAAAATAGCTTAATATGGACCCTTTAAAGTGAATCTTAGCCTTTTACCTTTAAACAAAAACAGTATGCGGCCATGCTATGTTGTTTTTCTTATTCCTCAAAGGTATTATTGTTCAGAGATTACATGTGTTCCAATCTGCAGACAGTTTGTCCAAGGACAACTGAAGGTCCCTCTCAGGGAATCTCTATGTAATCTGAGTGCTTTATCTGATACACGAGTCCTGTGATTGATTGATCCAATATGAGAAGTGACACATACAGGCACTTGATAAACGACATCCATGACCATTTAGAGAAAAACATAGTGACAGTGGCAGTATGAACCTCTATCTCCTTGTGCTTTTGTGCTAGACACTTCAACCTGACTATGAATTTGTTTGTGCAATTATATGATTGGTGTTCATTGCAGAGACTTTAAGGAGAGGTTAGCAGCCTAGTCTACCTAAATGAATTACAATCGGACTGTGAGGTACCTAACAAGCTTTATACAAAACTGCAGTACAACATGGCAGAAATTTTTCAAGCACTGAGGAAAAGAAAGAATGAAAAGCTTAAGACCATTACTTAAATATAGCGTGGTATAATGTTCTATATGACTAAAAGCTGAGAAAAGGAAATTGAACTGAGGTGCAAACCAGAGGTGGGACCAAGTTGTGGATTTGCAAGTCTCAAGTCTTTGACCTCAAGTCCGAGTCAAGTCACAAGTCAAATACATGCAAGTCCTAGTTGAGTCTCGAATCACTGGCCCATAAATCCAAGTCAAGTCCAAGTCGTCTGCTTTGAGCTTCAAGTCATTTCAAGTCTTTAAACCAAAGTACTAAATATAGCTTTGATTTTTGAAATATATATGAATTTTAAACTAAATTGTATTTAAAAAACATGGTATACGAATATTTATATAAGAGTTGTAGAAATGCAACTTTTTTTTTCCTTTTTAAATGTCTTGACAAGAGTGCAAATTTTTATGGTCAGAAGAGAAAGAGAAAGAGTTAAGATTTAAGAGCGCTTAATAACAGTTAATTTGTGAACTAGTCTAAGCATCAAGTCTTCAGGGCTCAAATCCAAGTCAAGTCCCAAGTCACTGACCTTGAAGTCCAAGCTGAGTCCCAAGTTTAAGTCTGTTTTATCAAGTCAAGTCTCAAGTTCAAAAAATAGTGACTCAAATCTGACTTGAGCCCCCAACACTGGTGCAAACACAGGAAAAGAAGATAGATTTATTTATTTTTTATTCATACAAATAACATTTTCTCTTGCAATGGAACCCACCTGGACGAATGAGACATTACACAGAACACAACATGTTTACCTATTTACAATTTTTTTCTCTATATAACTTCTCGTCTCTGTCCCTCAGGCGTGGACATCCTGAAGCTGGTGTCCGCTCACGTGGGCTCTCAGTGGATTGACCTGTACCAGCTGTTGGCAAATGCAACTGAGCGCGAGGTGGCCGCCTTCTCCAACGGGTACGGCTCTGACCCCGAGCGAGCCTACGCAGCCCTACAGCACTGGACCATACGGGACAGCGACGCTAACCTGGCTAAGTTAATCAACGCTCTCCACAGACACAGACGCATAGATGTGGTGGAGAAAGTCCGCTGTGTCATGGAGGATAACCCACAGGTAACACCCTCAAGTTCATCAGATAACTCAAAAAATATTGTACTATTTTGTTGCCTTCACGTTATTGAATTTGAAAGTTTAATAGAGGGCAATGGCATTAAGTTTTAGTGCAAAAATAACTGCCACCCTGTTTGTCTCTGAAATGTCAGAGAGAGGGGCGATGTTTTCAAAGTAAAGTCAATTGACGACAGAGTCACTGGAGCCAGAAGGACCCCGACTCACTCTCTCCATAGAACTATAGTGGGTTAGTCATGTTCATTTATATATACAGTCTGTGTTCTTTCCCCTGCTCCCCTTCAGACACGTGTTGACGGGGTTTTCACAGAGCAGCATTCAGTACACACATCACATGCTGAGATAATGGGACCCTCCTGAGCCCTGTACACTGTACTGGGACTGTACATTCAGAAGACACATTTTAGATACAATACTCCTTTCATCACCGTCCACTTTTCACCCAGTGATGTAACATGATTCAAAACATTCATATGACCTCCACCACACAACTTAAGGTCACTACATAGACTGTGTTTTGTTCTGTATCAGAATTATTTGTCATTCAAGCCAAGCTTATGTCCAAGGGCAGGGCTGTTTAATTAAGGCTTTCATCACATGTTAATATCAGATAGTGCTGTTTTGTTGTTTTGTTACCATTCCAACTATTACACATAAGATACTATCAGTGTGTCCTTGTTTATGTAATGTCAATTTGTAGATAGTCACTACATCTATACTCAAAGTCACATTTCCTTTTCAGCGTGCATTAAAGGTAACGCAGCCTGGCTCATGCCAGACTGATAAGTGTAGCACTCTGAATTGAGTTCTACACATTATCCATCTGGAACAGCTCTCTCTGAAAGTGATCAGACAACATGGAGCATTACGATGTCTATTTCAGTCTGATTTGTGGAAGCTTCACAACAGCAGAACAAGCCAAAAAAATCAAATTTTTATCACCACCATGTTTGTTTTAGTTGGTTTGGGCGCTTGGCCTTTGGCCTCCACACAAACCTCAATACTGCTCTGTGATTGGTGGTCCTTCCACCCAATTAATTATACAGCGGGCACTCCAAGATGGATTCTTGTGAGTTTGTGAACCCACAAATATTGTGACAATCCATCTTAATGTGCAAGGTTGCATTAAAGGGCCTGTATCAAGTAATAATTAAAATAATTAAAACTAAATAATACTCATAACTTTATAAGCAAAAATAATTAAATTCAGTTCAATTTTATTTAATTCAATCAATAGTCTAAATCAGCAGATATGTGTTGCTTGTAGACTATGGAACATTGCTTGTCAATCCAGATCAATGCATATTTCTTATGGGGAGATCTTGTTGCATTGTGAGGTAGATGTGACGTAATAGTGATGGGCCTCCTGGTGCAGAGGCCTATCAGCTGTCTGACGGAGCTATTCTAGTCTGACACCAGACTGACGGATGGTCTGTCATCTCCTCTACTCACTTTTTACTGGAATTTATGTAACTTTTGCTGTGGACAGGAATCTGTATAGTTCCTTTATAGTACATAGTTATTTAAAGGTAACTTGTGTTTCAGTATGGCATTCAACATATTTACCTCACTTTTGACAGGTTTTATTGCTAAATTTCCTTGACATTCACGCATTCTTTCAGTGACCTGGGTCGCCTCTCCACAGATTTGACCTTTAAGTTGACCTAGAGATAGTCACCTACATGTCTCTGTGGAGATAGTTTCAAGCTAAATGCCATACTGTGGAACATTCTTGGTAGAGCAATAGCATTTCTTTGAGATGTGCGGTGGACACACCCTTACCCAGAAAAGTTACATAGTACATCTTTTAAAGTTACACGCTCTGCTTTTTTCTTGACATGTAGTGATGACGTTCATTTGTACTACATTTCTAAGAGTAACCTTTTTTGTACGCTGACCACCGTCAATCACACATTCACTACTCAGTCACTAATCCTTAAAAGGCAGTATAATGAATGCAGTTTAAGGTTATTTGGTTTGTAAGCTTTTGAAGTCAGATAATAGATATTAATGACAATTCATAATTTAAACTATGTAAAAGAGAGGAGTGGTATGGTGGAGCTTCATGAATCATGTTAAACGGTAAATACTCTGGAGCTTGAACAATCAGGTGATTAAGGAGGAGCCCTGCTGTTTCACTACAGGCCTTCTGTGTGTGGCTAATGAGCCCGTCATGGCTCCAGCTACAGCGAAACATGAAGGGTGGGGCTAACACAAGACATCTATGACGTAATGATCAATTAGACACATTGTTTTAGTATTCAAAACATGTAAAGGTGCACTATGTAACTTTTCCTTTGGAGAATTGGCGAGACACCTGTTTGTCTCCATGGAGATGTTATTGCTTTGCCTGGCATGTTCCACTAGATGGCATTAATCTATCTATCTTGCATTTATTCAGTTAGTTTTATTTTTTATTTTTTTATATTAATAAAAATCTGGACAAGGAGATGGCTTTAGAAAATCAGTATTTTTTTTTTCTTTTGCAGGTTGCAACCAGGGCTGTTTAATTTTATTTCATTTATGTGATTTATTTATATTCTATTCAATTACAAAAATGTTCTAATGGAAGAAAAACAAACAAACAAAAAAAACTACCTTCTGCATACCTTCAACATAGGCTTTTAAACAAAAATAAAATGTATTAACATATAGAAGTCAGTGTTTGAAATCATTGTCATTTTAATTATGAGCCAAATAATTGAGGGCGTTCAAGTTACAGCCTGACTAAACCAACACTGAGTAAGCACTGCTTCATACTGAAATTTGGTGTCACGATATCATGGCCAAAATAATTGCAACTATTGATTATATCACAATAATGATTAAAGTTGCTGACAATTTTAGAATGTATGTATATGAATAACTATAATTGTAATATTATAACGAAGTTCCATATTTAAAACTGCTATAGTATTGTACTTTGTTGTAAGTGAAGACAACAATGATCTAGAAGAAAACATCACGGATAAGGAGCTTTTTGCTTCACTTTTTGGTGATCAAATGGCAGTTTTCTTTGTTGCCAATTATCATGATTATATCCCAGGAACGATTATAGTGTACACTTGGAGTTTCAATTAAAACAACTGGCTTCCTACTTCCTAAGTCTGTGCCCCATTATGCAATTACAAAACAATTACGTTACTTTGAATTATCTATTTACCAAGACTGACAATTACTGTGGTGGCTTTTAGTGCAACCCAAGAGCTCTGAACAACATCAATCAACCACCATCCACAATTACCATCAGTAATTTCAGCCTAATCTGGGAGTACATGATTCCGGCCCCATTAGTATACACTGTAATAAAAGGGATCTAACCACATTTAGGATTTTTAAGGAAAAGGGCGCAGATTTCCCAGAAGCAGTTTGGATCTGTTCAAATGAAGATGCAGGAGATTACTACTGACTTTAAGAGCCTTCCTAAAACCCACTAAATGCCAAAGTGGGATGAGGTGATTTCAGCTTTGTTCTTCTCTAGACCTATAATCTCTTTGTGTTTACGAGTAATTACAGCTGTAGCATTTCTGATCTTATTAATCAAAGCAGTCCACCCAGTCTCTTGCGGTCCTCATTTCACAGAGGTCTCCCTGAACTCTAATCCAAACCAACAACGTGGCATTGTCTAATTCTTCTGGAACTGTGCTCGGTATGAGATAAAATCAAAGGTACAAGATGCAGTTTATGAGTTTTTCCTCATCATAATCATACCTGGAGTTGTGTTTTGTTTCTTTTATGTTTAATTTGCCTATTTAGAATGAGTTCTTCTCTCAAACTGAAAACACTGTTCCACCTTGTGATGTCATGTGGTAAAACAGGAAGTGCTCCACTGTGTTTTTAAACTCCATATACCTTCACGAGAATCATTTGGATAATTTCAGCCCTGGAATTGTCAAACTCTGTTAACTTGAAACTAGCACTACACGATATCACAAGGTGGAACAGAACATTTTGAAGATGGGGATGTAGACAGACTAATAATAAAAGATTACTCAAACATGTGTGAATGAAACAAAACACTATTGCAAGTATGTTTTTGATGTGGTAACAGCATTAGACGTGGTTTAAAGCCCACAATATTGAGTACCATATTTCCCGGACTATAAGTTACTCTGGAGTATAAATCACACCAGCCAAAAAATCCATTGAATTCTTCATCCTCGGTGTCACTTATGCGAGACCTCTGGAGATAAACCATAGATCCATGAGGTAAACAGTGCACTGCTTCCTCTTTTGCGTAGCTGTCATCAGACTCAGCATCAGTTCCAGTTAGAATTATTCCGACCTTTCTGAATCCCAACAGGATAGTTTCGATTGTCATTGAAGTCCAGGCTTTGTCGATCCATCCAGTGACTTCAGGAGACTTCAGTTGCATGGCGCACCCGCCCGGTTACCGTGAAACTGTACTCTCCATCCCCATCTTCCTCCAGTCCCTCACACGTTTTTCGCTCATTCCAAACTTTCTTTCTGCTGCTCGATTACCGTTTTCAGCTGAATATTTCACTATTTGCAGAGAGACAATGGCTTTTTCTGCAGGAGACATGTGCACACGAGCCTAGAGCGCCCTCTCGCGGCTGTCATTCTGAAAATTTTTATATATAAGTTGCACCGGAGTATAAGTCACAGGACCACCCAGACTATGAAAAAAAGTGCAACTTATAGTTCAAAAATACGGTAATATAGCACCTTTTAAGTTGATTTTTATTTTATTTTTTTGTGATTTTTTCATCTTCTGACATTGCATTCACTAAAAAACAGCTGCGTGTTCCTTTGCCTTTAGAAGACATGGGAACAAATGTGAAGGAAGGTTATAATTTCAAAGTTATGGTACTGTTATATGACTCATGTTACTATAGCAACCTGTTCGAAATAGTCAGTGATGACAGAAGTGTACTTAGCTTGAGTGACATGTAATGATATAGTTGAAAAAGAAATCTAGGTCGACTTAAGATTTGCCTGTGTATTGATCAAAACGATTCAGTATTTCTATGATCCATCTCACCCAAATATGGAAAATTTAAGATCACAATTGACTCCCAACATTTCAGCTACTCACACATGCTTTCCCCTTTTTGCTGTTTGCACTATAGGCCTAAAACCATTACAATACCAACAAAATAATTATTCCTTTAATAAAAACATTGGCAATCAACCACTTTATTGACAACCAAAAGCCCATTGCTACTTTATAGTCATCAACATTCCCTGGTGTAATGCTAACTGAAGGCACTTCTCTATTTGGGGTTTGTTAGACTTTTATCTTTTTTATTTAAGTAACATTACAGTCACAAGATAGCTCACATTAGTCAACCATTTTTTTCAGTTAGTCACTTTCACGTCCTGGCTTCTGAAAATGTGTTGTTAGAAATCCATTTTGTATTTTTTTCTTGAGTTTTAAAAGCTTTTTGGCAGTGCTTGTTACTATGTGAATTGTGTCTCTGTGGTAATTGTCCGCAGTTACATTGCACCATAGATATACATTAGGGATGTAACAATAACCGAAATATTGTGATATCGTATCGTCAAACTTCTCACAATAATATCATGGACCATCACAACATATAAAATTACAAGTCTCTTTGCTTAAATTAGGAATTAAAGTTATGGTGCAGCAATAGCTAAAAAAAAATCAGAGGGAACTACATAGACCATGATCCTTTGCTCCATTTCAGTGTAGACTACATGAAGAAATAACAGGTCTTTAGTTCTTTTGATTGAGTTTTGTCAAGACATTTTAAGAGGAAAAAGTAGCATAGTAACAGTTTTGTTAACCTCTACAAAATATGGTATAATAATATCGTACCTTGACATGTATATCGTGAAAAAATTGTACCGAGAGATTTGGATATTTTTACATTCATAATTGTGAGCTTTCCCACGATATCGCAATAAATATCATACCGTGAGGTTCATACCGTGACAATATCATATCGTGAGGCTTGGATATCCTTACACCCCTAATATACATGTAGAACACCCACATGTGTATCAGTAATGCTTTTGGGATGGGGGCAACAAGGTCCAGTGTGAGTTTAGTTGTGTTGAGTTTTCCATCTCTTCCTGTAACATATGAACCATCCAACTCTAGTCTAGAATAAACTTAGCTCAAGATTTGGACATGATTCCTGGAACGTCCACTGCAGAGAATAAATGCAGAGAATAAATTTTACTATAACATTATAAAATACTTTTATATTTCCTCTTGACTGCTTCTAAACTGTTGCTCGTGCTGTAGCGTGGAGGTGCAGATTACATGACTACTGTGAAAGAGTGCCCAGTCACAGTGAGGATTATGTGGATTTATTGCATATCAGGATATCACTGTGTAAAGACCTAATCATAAAAATAAAATAAAAAAATCATAAACAACTCATGTGAGCTATGTAATTCTCCTGTACCACTTGCATGTATTAAGACAAATAAAGAACTTAACTATTGCTTGGCTGTTCTAGAGTTTAGAGTTCAAGAGAGTCAGGGACCTGGTGACTCGAATACTCAACACTGTACGTTGATATTGACTTTTTTTGTAAGGTGAGTTTGAGAGTTTTGAAAGGCGCTATTAAGTAAAATGCATTATTATTAAAACCTGAGTCTGCTTCCACACAAGGGGGTTTAAATAGGAACTAGCTTGGAGAGAAGATGGCAAAGATAAAATGAGAAAGGCAGAGCATACCGTTTCTGATGACGAAATTAAAAGGACAAATTTCTGTAATAGTTGGATGACGCCAGAGCTAACCACAGAGAAATGTTAACAGTGAACTGGAGGTGTCCTTGCTAAGACTATGCAGGGGATGCAAAATACCACAACATTGACTACTAGAGCTGTAAGGCTATTTTCCTGTATTTTAGCTAATCGCCGTCAAGCCCAGAACCTCCTCTTGCATCTGTGTTCTGTTTACTTCCCAAAACAAAGAAAAAAACTTTGCAGCTCCTCTGTGCTTTTCGTTCATGAGACATGCTTACATTGTCAAGATAACAGCAGAGACAGCGCTAGGGAAAGTCCGATAATTCAGATTTGATGGAGGTAGCGTGAAAGTAAAAGTTTTGAGAGAGAAATGTTAAACTCCCTTTACATATTAAAACTGCTGTTTACTCTAGTTGTTTTAGGTTGAATTCCTGTCAGTGCTTTTTGGCTCCTGAAAATATTTGGTCATATATATATATACATAGTTTTAAGAAGTTTGCCAGTGTCAGTCCACGCCCTTCCTTATTCGATTCATTGATGCTCAGAGCAGGTCTCATCTTGTTGATCAATCATTTCTTAATCAACTGGCGCCCTATTACTTATATACTTAGACAACAGGGCCTTACTTTGCAAAATGGACTCTTGTGATGGGACCAAGTCGTTGTTTTGCAAGTCTCAAGTAAGTCTTTGGCCTCAAGTCCGAGTCAAGTTCCACATCAAATACAAGCAAGTCCAAGTTGAGTCTCGAGTCATTGGCTCATAAATCCAAGTCAAGTCCAAGTCGTCTGTTTTGAGCTTCAAGTCATTTCAAGTCTTTAAACCAAAGTACCAAATATAGCTTAGCTTTTGCATTTTATATGAATTTTAAACTAAACTGTACTTAAAAAGCCATGGTATATTTATATATGAGTATTTATGTCAAAGTTGTAGAAATGTAAATTTTTCCTTTTTAAATGTCTTGACAAGAGTGCAAATTATTACGGCTAGAACAGAAAGAGTTAAGATTTAAGAACACTTAACAACATTTAACTTGTTAGCTAGTCTAAGCCTCAAGTTTTCTCAACTCTCAAAGCTGAAGTCCAAGTCAAGTGCCAAGTCACTGACCTTCAAGTCCAAGTCGAGTCCCAAGTCTTACTCCATTTTATCAAGTCAAGTCTCAAGTCCAAAAAATAGTGACTCAAGTCTGACTTGAGTTCAAGTCACGACTTACAGGTCCCAACACTGTTAGTCTGTCTACACCTCCAAAACTCAAAATGATCTGTTCCACCTTGTGATGTCATGAAGTAGTTTTAAAGTTAATAGCTATGATTTACCTTGTGTTCAGTAGAGATTTTCAGTTCCAGGGCTGAAACTGTCCAAATGATTCTAGTGAAGGTGTATGGAGCATTTCCTGTATCACCACATGACATCACAAGGTGGACAGAGTGTTTTCTGTTTGAGAGAAGAACCCAACCTAAATATACAGGCTTTGTGTCACTGAAACAAAACACAATTCCAGGTATGTCTGGGATGAGGAAACAACATTATGACAAACAGTAGATCAGAAAATAGAGTAAAATGAACCCTTTAATATACAATGCAGTGTAGATGTTCATGAGTTTTTGACCATCAAAGCCTGTACCATAAATGCATCATATTGTATAGAATGACCTGTGCCACTGTGACTTGGGCCTACTGTTGTGCTGCTCTGGAAAACACAATCCGCTCTCATGATCTCATCCTCAAACCAGTTAATACTGGTTCAGCTGCAGCTTCAGTATCACCGCACAGAAGAGACAGAAGAGGGGGGAGGAGGGAGCACAGCCAGGGGATGACATCTTATCAGGAAGATGAATAAGGAACCAGTGGATTTACAGTGAATTAATAATGTTTGTGACAAGATTGACTGTAACTGTGTTTTGGTGTTCAGAGAGACAAGAGGAGACGGGTAACTGTTGCTCACATTACCTGTAAATGTATTAAAATGATGGCATATTATTTGTCAGGACTTTGATTCATTCTGATTTATTGAAAAATACCATCATTGAGTAGCCCGTATAAAAACAGGGAAGGAAGAGAGATTTTATATACATACAGTAAATCGTGAGTCTGAAGTTTGCTTCATGTGTCTGTGCTGCCACCATCTGTTCATTGTAGGTACTCCTTACTCGCCGCTTCCTTCATTTGCTCAAGTACAGGTGTAGTGTTGCTTCACCTAAAGTTACACTGTGCATATCAGCTGTGTTATGTATCACATAAGCAGACACTCACTGACACTCACTGACACCCACAAAGAGGACAAAAACAATATATACTTTTCCTCTTATAGTTTTCCTTTTAATACTAAAGGCAGACCTACTGTTAAAATTACAGTATACCCTGATTTTACTGATTACTGAACATAAATAAAATCATGTACATGATTAAAATACACTGATCTAGCTACTGTTGCTCTTGACTAAAGTAAAAACATATTCTGGATTTGTGTTTTTTCATCCACATGTTTGAGTAACCCTTTAATATTAGTCTGTCTACATCTCGTAGTAGTTTTCAGTAGCTACCTTTACCTTTAGGTGAGTTGAGATGGGCAATCCCAGGGCTGAAATTATCCAAATGATGACGTATGGAGTTTAAAAACACAGTAGAGCACTTTCTTTATTACCACATGATATCACAAGGTGGAACTGGGTGTTTTTTTTTATTTTATTTTTAATTTTTTTTTTTTTATGAGGAAACAACATTATAACATAGATGTGGAATAAGCAGATGACTTTATTGTCACAGGAATAAGATTGTATTGTTATCACCATATTGCCCAGTTTTACTTCTACTTTTCACTACTTTTCAGTACTTGTCTTTAGTTTGACTTTTGTTGTGTGTTTTATGTGTCTGTCCACAGTTTGATCTGAACCAGCTGATGCCTGCGGTGAACGGCAGCCAGAGCCTCAGCCCCATCCACAGACCTCTGGAGTCCCCTGGCTTTAACAGCGTAGGGGGCAGCAGCAGCAGTGTGGGCGGGTCTAGTGTGGGCGGGTCCAGTGTAGGAGGGTCCAGTGTGGGATGGTCCAGTGTGGGCGGGGCCAGTGTAGGCGGGGCCAGTGTGGGCGGGACCAGTGGCGTGGGCACGGAGCCTTCACCAATTGATCGGGCTAAGGGCTTCTTTCCCGATGAATCAGAGCCGCTGCTGCGCTGTGACTCCACCTCTAGCAAAGACTCCGCCCTCAGCAGAAACGGATCCTTCATTACCAAAGGTGAGAGGGACAAGAGTTCCGCGGGACTTGGTATATAGAAGACTTTTTAATTTCAGTTTCAAATCAGTTACAATGAATGCATTTTTCTGTCACATTAAATTCCTAAGGCAGAGGGAGTAGGCCTGTCACAATAAGAAAAGTAAAAGTGACAAAAATATAGACAATGAACCTAACCAAAGTTATGCCATCTAATCTAAACATACAATGAGCTGTAATTGATAAATAACAGAATGAAACACTTTAATTGTTAGCTTTAATTTCTTATGAGTCATACACGCTATTTGGTCAACCATATACAGCTCAAATCTTATCATAGTACATTACTTGTACTGTAGGATTCTCATAGCATCCATAGACATGCACAGATTATGTGAAAATTGTCCTCAACAAATACTTGTGGTTGTCTGAACTTAAGACCCATTGTGAGTAAACCATGTTTCTAAGAGCACTAGTATCACATGTCATTTGTGTTAAAGATCCAGACATGGTAAACTCTTGTTCTGAAATTATAAGTATGCATCCGAAGTACTTTGTTTGATGCCAAACCAGTATATCTTTTATTCAATACAAAGGTGGTAATTTCCAGACCCATTCAAAATAGTGTCATGACAAAGGTGCTATTGTAGTGAACAATGATAGTGTGATTTAATGCGGAATTATCCAGACAGTGAGCGCTCTCAAATTCTGATTACAGAATACAGAATACCTCTGTGCCCTCCTGTGGAAATTCTGTGTATGACATATTTGGAATAAACCTCAACCTAAGCAGACATAACAGTGTTGAACAAAGCAGAAATAGCTCATTCAGTAAACGTTTTCACTCACTTACAAATGCACGGTATCCTGGTGTGTCTTTAGATAAAGTAAGTGTCTGTGATCTATAGTAAATGTCACGTGTCTGTCAGCCTGCCTTAGCTGTGACTATAAACAGGAGTGAAATGAAGCTCTGTACATGATGATGCATTTTGTTTGACATTCACATAGAATATAAGGGTGCACTCACACATGTTTGGTCCTGCTTTAAGTTCCTAGTTTAGTCTTCCCGTATGCTCGGTTTGGTCATATTCGAGTCTTGCTTTAGTTCAGGTTTAGGTCCAAGTTTGGTCTTGATTTTGGTGTTGTGTATGTGCAAATGTGAACGTATCCTCAAACGGAATGAGACCTGAGGTAGAATCTTGAGTGGAATCTTGACAATAATTACAACATAATTTGAGCATTAATACTAATAAAGCTTTCCAACATGTGCGTGTGTTTGTATGTGCAGAGAAAAAGGACACAGTGCTGCGTCAGGTGCGCCTGGACCCCTGTGACCTTCAGCCCATCTTTGACGACATGCTGCACATCCTGAACCCAGAGGAGCTGCACACTCTGGAGCAGATCCCCACCGCCGAGGACAAACTCGACCGCCTCTTCGAAATCGCAGGAGTCAAGAGCCAGGAGGCCAGTCAGACCCTGCTGGACTCGGTCTACAGCCACCTGCCTGACCTGCTCTAGACCGGAGACAGAACTGATCCATCCAGACATGTTCTAGACCTGATTCAGACTTGCCATAGACCAGATCAAGGCAAACAGAACATCTAGAACAAATCTACACATATTCTAGACTTTATTCATTCAGAATTGTTTAGAGGTGTTAGACCTGTTCTAGATCTGATTTAGACTTGTTTTAGGGTGGATCAAGGCCTGTCTTCGATTGGATCCAGACCTATTCTAAACCTGATTTTGGCCTATTAAGACCTGTTCTAGACCTGTTTCAGACTTATTCTAGACCTGATCCAGATGTATTCTAGATCTGATCCAGACTTGTTCTAGACCTCAGTCAGGCATATTTTGGACCTGATCTAGACCTGTAGATCAGAGTCAGACCTGATCTAGACCTGGAGAAGACCTCTTCTAGACCTGATTCAGACCTGTTGTAGACCTGTTCCACACCTAGTTCAGACCTGATTCTGACCTGTCCTAGATCTGATTTAGATCTGTTCTAGACTGGGTCCACATTTGTTCTAAACTTGATTTTGGCCTATTGATCTGTTCTAGACCTGTCTCAAACCTATCCTAGACCTGATCAAGACCAAAATACAGAGGAGTGACACAGCAATCACAGTGTTTAAATGGACTCTTTTTTTTTCATATACCATTTCACAAACAAAATTATGTATTAACAAGAAAAAATAAGATTCTTATAAAAGCATTCACAAACAAGGAATGTGCTCTGGCAGTTTGGTGCAAATGTAATGATTGGCATGCTTTGTTAAAAACATTTTTAAAGTAAGGGTAAAAATAAAATAATGCACAGAAATAATGCTTGTACCAGCAGGAAGTTTAAGTGAATCTATCGTTTGAGTGAGTTATGTAAACTACGTTTGCCCAGTTATGGTATGAAATTTCAAAGGAACATATTCATTGTTTAGTAAATGCTAAATGGTATGTCCTGGAAAATGATTGACATTTTGGCTTGAGTCCAGATAAACATCATGTGATTGACAAAACAGACTGTGACTAAGACTCAACCCAAACCCTTTGTATCATCAGTGACAATGCTTCTTTTTCTACAGGGTCCAATCCAGACATCCTGCTTCATTTAAGGTGGTATTGTTTGTGACCTTAAATGAGGACACAATTCCTATTTTGAACCCTTTAAAGGTGCACTATGTAACTTTTTGGTTGGGGGTCCGTCACCTGCTTATTCCCATGGATATGTCATTAGTATGACACTAAACGGCTCTATCACATTATGTTTATTCAATTGCAAGTGATTTTAGAGCTCAAAAATACCTGGAAAAATAGGCATACTGACTGTAAGTTTGGTTGCCTCTCCACAAATTTGACCTGTAACTTGGTCTACAAAAGCACTTTTTAAAATCTCCACATGGGGGCGACGTGTTCGACATTGATACTGTTAAAAGTTAGTGCCATGCAGGGTTAAAAGTTCAATTACTCCATTTCACTATAAGCTATACTTTGGACAGCACTGGTTGGTAGTTATTAGTGGATGATAACAAGTACAGACAACTCACTTCAGTCTTTTTTTCAAATTGAATATTATGTTATGTGCCTAAACTTGACAAATAATCTTTCACCATTGTGTTTCTGTTGTTACTGCATCAGACCAGCAGGTGGCGATATAGGCAAAGCAATTTTTTTCACTGATTATGCTTCAGATCCAATGTATGCATTAATATGTGGTAGTTTTGTAAGATAAGATAATCTATTGGTTTGGTACAGCCAGCATCATGGGGTTGCATTGGATAGCAACAGATAGGTCAAAAACATAATTGAAAGCATAACATATTTGATGCAAGCTTAAATTCTTACATTTTCAGGTGTAATGCTTTTATGTAGCCATTGTGGGTGAAATGGAGGCCAGCTATTTGAGCACTGACAGCTATGTGTATCGGAGATAAGACTGTGACAGGTGTTCAGACTAGTTTTCTTGTGTGTCACCTCATCTGCAGCACAGTATACTTAACGTCTGCACGACACCTTTCTGAATTATTTGGGTCAAGTTTTACTATTTGTAAGAAGATATTAGCTTTTATACAATGTTAAATACAAAGTTTGTTTTTTTTCAAAAATAATTAGGAATTTTAAATTATATTGAGTGTCATCTCAACTGGCCAGACAACGTTGGAAAACACTGTCAGTATTTTAACTTTCTTCTGTGGACTAACCAAGAAGTAAATTTGGGACTAACCAAAACTGTCACTTATTATATGATGCATTGCGTAACTTTTCTTATGGAGAATACGCCACCTGCTGTCTCCATAAAAACATCATCCCCATGGAAACATTATTGCTTTGCCGGGAATGTTCGACAGTATGGCATTACATATATACATTTTCAAGACGGGTAGGAAGCACGAACAGGCCAAATTACGGGTCAGATATGTGAAGAGGTGACCCAGCTCAAAGAAAGAATGCATGTTTTTTACGGTATTTTTGAGCAATAAAAACACTCATAAGAAAACTCATGCAAGACAGGTAAGTTTAATGCCATACTGTGAAACATTTCATTCAAAACAAGTTAATTTAAGAATCAGGCTTCTTAATTACAAGTAAATATAATCTGTCAGTTTAGCTTTGTGCTCTTTCAGTGCTGTCTGATACAACCCCATACTTTAAACTGGTTTATGCCTTTTTGTCCGACTTACTACAGTAATTTATTACAAACAAAATTGTCTTCACGCACATTTGCTTTGATTTTGTAGCATTGACGATGTTTTCTCTTACCATTTCAGAACTCTTTGTCCTCTTTAATCTACAGCATTATATTTAAACATGCACTGATCATTTTTTAATATTCATTTTATTGTATGGATTTTAATCTATGTAATTTTGATAATTTCAACTGTAGCATCTCATTCTTATTTTGTCTATGGGCATTTCAAGTATTCAACCACTTGAATACTCAGGTGGCACATATGCATACTCCTGTTGGTAATCCTTTTTCCGTTTTACTTGATGGACAATGGAGAAACAATGAACTTTTTTTAATTCAAAAACTGCACCACCAAAAACTGTCCCACTGAGGCTGGAATCTACTTGGTGCTGTACATGGACTACCACCGTTGGCCTAATAATAATAATAATAATAATAATAATAATAATATTAATAGTATTTAACCTTTACCAGACTGAAGTAAGGACTGAGGATGTTGATGAAAATGCTGTGGAAATCTAGTATTTGTTGTCGTGGTTTGGGTTTTTGAGATAAGATAAGTTTTGAAAAGACTTGACAGATGTAACTGGTATGTTTACTATGATGTAATCTCAATAAAGCTCAATATATTTGTCATAAACTTTTGATTATTGTGTATTTCTTATAATAATATTAGAGATTGAATTATATTTCTTTTAACAGGTGAAATGATCTGCCAATGAAATAAGATTTTTTGTACTTAAAATATGAAAATACATCTTGCTACACTGAAGATAATAAAAACGACATGTCTTTGCATTTAAAATAAACCAAAAACATTTGTGTTTAATTTGCTTATGGTTATGTCAGGTTATACTGTTTTACAAGAAAGAAAGAAAAATTCTGACTATGTTGGAGCAATCACGCAAGCGTCACTGTCACACCCCTGCCCTACTTATATAAACCATATTCATTTCCTGCCTGTTATCACAACAAAGATAAGAAACATGTGAAAGAAAGTGTCAAATGCCTTGTGAAAGTTACTGATAGATTCTTTATTAGATATGTTAGAAGTACTTTATGTTACAGGCTAGCAACAAGTGATAATAAAGTAGTTTCAGTTCTTTTTGCTTGTAGTCAGGATGGATAGAATAAGGAACAAGATCAAACAAATAACCAATGATAGATCTTGCACCAGGCAAAATACAACGGGTGCGTGTGCTATTTTAAGATAACAACTTAACAACTTTTTTTTGTTGTTTTTTTAAAGGTGCACTATGTAACTTTTTGGTTGGGGGTCCGTCACCTCCTTGTTTCTATGGAGATGTCATTGATCTGCCCGGAATGTTGATGTTAAAGAGCTTTACCACACATTTAGTCGCTTACAGGTGGTTTTATCGCTCAAAAATACCTAGAAAAACATTTAAGACATTCTGACTGTGGGCGGGGTTGCCTCTCCACAGATCTGACCTGTAATTTGGTATGGTTTGGTTTCCATGGAGATAGAAAGGTTTAATATCATATTGTGACACATTTCAGACAAGCAATAACATATCCATAGTGAAAAGTTACACAATGCACCTTTTAAATGATCATCTTGCACTCATCTTCAACTGCTGTCATACACAAACAGTCCTAAAATGGGGGTCAATATTTGTTTTTTGTTTTTTTTGTTTTACCAGTTCTAGTAGACCAGTAGTATGCACTGTAGTGGCACAGTAAAAAGGCAAAAGCAAGTAGTTGTTTTCTCATCAAAAACATATCTAGAGTTGTGCTTTGTTTCATTCACACATGTTCAACACACAAACCTGCATATGTAAGATGTGTTCTTCTTTTAAACAGAAAACACTCTGTTCCACCAGGAAAATGCAGTGATGTGTTTTTAAACTCCACACACCTTCACCAGAATAATTTTGATAATTTCAGGCCTGGAATTTCCCATATCTACTGAGCAAAAGGTAAAATGTAGCTGTTAACTTTAAAACAACTGCTTGATGAGATTGCAAGGTAGAACCGAGCAGTTTGAACTCTGGAAATGTAGACAGACTAAATAATAGGATTAATCAAACATGTGTGAACGAAACAAAAGACTCGAGGTATGCTTTTGACTTCCTTAAAGCTCACAAGAGTAAATTTTGCATAATATAGATTAAAGAGAGCCTGCAGTTATTCTAGTAACATGGCTTGTCTGTGGTCGGGTTATAAATTCCCAGATTTATGGTAGCCAGTGTGCAAAATACGGGGGGGCCTCAAAAAAAAAAAAAAAGAAAAAAAGTCCAAACTCCATCTCAGGGTCAGTCCGACGTTCCCGATGTTCCTCCAATTGCGAAAGGTATCTGTGTTCCCTGTTAAAACCATGGGCCATCCTCATCTCAAGTTACCACCATGAACTCAGAAAACAGCAGCATTTAGAACTTTGTAACTAACCGCACATCACCTCGGAGCAGAAGCAATGAGTTTGGGTAACAGCAGCAGATTCTGGTTTGGATCTAGTCCGACTGTAGCATTTCTCACACCAGGCTAAATGTGGTTCATTTTGTAAGCTGTGTTTTTTTGTTTTTTTTTTTGTCACATTTGAGTCTGTATTGGCGTGTATTTCAAACACTGATAACAGCTCCACTTGTCTCGTCTGTCAGCTTCAACTGGGATCCAATACAACACAACCTCTGTGTGTTTATTTCTCTGCTGATTACAGTTTTTCTGGCTTAATGCGAAAATTAAAGGAACTACACGAAAATGTGCTAAATTTACAATGGCGGTCTATTGGCGGTCTGACTCGCCGGACCAGCAGAAGTGGATCAGGGCAAGGCCGCGACGTCACAGGCACATCATGGCCTTTAAGCTAATCCAAGTGAAAGCATGAATGCTGTCACAACAAATGAACCATTAGTTTTGCTGTGATGACTCAGCACCAAGAGCCCATTTTTTAGTCAAACTTGGGTAGCTCATTCAGGCCACAAGACACAAGACACTCATGAAATATTTAAACTCACACTTGACCCCTCCCTCTTTTTCACACCTACAGGAGCCCTTAGAGAAGATCATGTTTGCATACAGCTGGTCTGTGCTTAAATTTCACTATTTACATTACGTTTATCATTAGCCAAGTTAGTTTTAGCATGACCGTCCAGGAACTACAGCAGGTAAGGAAAGCATGCTTTATTTAACCCTTTTGCTGAAGTATTTTTGTATTACAGCCTGTCTCCTACTCATACTTGCATAATTACATACCATTCCTGTTCATACCGCCCAAAATGTAGTAAAATATTTCAAGAAAGCACTTACAAAACAGGAAAGCACTTACAAAAACAGGTGCAGTGTTTTTTGGTTTATTAAAACATCTGACATTGTCATTCGATATGGCAGGAGGTAATTACAGATTTGCAATGGGAAGAATTTGCCTTAAATGTTACACAAAATACACTTGTGAATTTTAAGCCATGTTATAAACATAAACTCAAAAACATACCTGCAGTTGTGTTTTATTTCATTCACATGAGTAATCCTTTATGATTATTTGCCGCTATATCTCCAAAACTCAAAATGCTCTTTTTGTAATGTTATGAAGTGGTAGGTTTCAATTAAGTGAAGATGTATAGAGTTTCAAAAACACAGTTTAGCACTTCCTGTATTACCACAATGTGGAACAGAGTGTTTTCTGTTTGAAAGAACACTTTGATAATTTACCAAATAATTTACTCTGATTAATGGGACCCAGTATTACCACTACACGTCATATTTATCATAGACTGACTGAATGGTGTGGGATGGACCGGGGGTTTCTCAAAGTTTTCGTGTTCAGGAAAACTTTGACATTACGTGCAGCCTTGGAGGGATTACTGTAAACATGCAAACATACCTGAAATATCACTGTTGATGGAGGCTGGTGCTTAATACCGAGACTGTCACCTGACGAGACAATGAGGAAATTCTATACTGCAAATGCTTCTGGGGAGTAATATTACGTAAACTATAACATTAAAAAATACATTTAAAATAACTAGTCCCATAGTGTATTTTAAACTAATGACGATGACAGCTAAGATTTATGTTAGGTCTTGACAAACTTCACAGCAGTGCTTGGTCGATTAATTATTCATTGACATTCACCAAGGGACTTTCTGAGTGGCACCTCTCACTCAGATGAATCACACAGGCAGGTTACCATGGAGACACCAAATATTGACTGGGGTGGTAGCCAGGGTATAATCTACTTTGAAATATTACCAAATTGGTCATTTACACATAAAGTTTTCTAATGAACATTACATATTTTACAAAGTATTGTTTTTAAAAGTTCCTCAGTGTAACTTTTCTGGTTGGAGTCTGCCCCCTGCTTGTCCCCATGGCAATATTATTGCCTTTTGTGCAGCTGATTCCACAGAGTAATTCAATATCACACGTGTCTATCGTGTTCATAGATCTCTCAGGGTAAAAAGTAATAAAACTGTTGAGGCAAAAATTGTGAAAAATTTTGAAAAGCTATGGTTACCACTGTAATTGTCATAGACACAAGTCACAATTGGCCTTAAATGACAGACAGTACTATTTTCTTTAAAATGATACCAAACAGAATAGTTTAAATCATTATCTGATTGTGAATATGGCCTAAACCTACACGTGCACATGTGTCAAAAGTGTATTTTGCAACACGTGGTTTGTACAGCTCAAAGGCTCATAACTGTTAAGCCACTGAAACTCAGAAAAAATATAAAGCTCAGATATGGAACTTTTCAAAAACACAAGTAGGCTTTTCTCTCCACAGATACTGACCTGTAAATTGACCTGACATGGTATCACTTTTTGTTAGGTTTATTGTCATATTTCCAAAATATGAAAATCCAAGGCAAACCAATGTGATCTCACTGTAAACCCAGAACCCTAACCCGTGTTACTGTTTTGCCTGGAATGTTCCATGATATGACATTAAACATTTCTATCTAGCATTTATTCAATACAAGTGTTTCTATTGCTCAAAAATATAATAATTCCTTCTGAATAGGGGCGACTCTCCACAGATCTGAATTGTAATGTAGCAAAGTGCAGTAACCTGGTTGTCTCCCTCATGCTAGTTAGGTTTGATATATACTGTGGAACATTCTAGACAAAGCAATAACATGTCCATGGAGACAGGTAGCGGATCCTCTACTAGAAATGTTAAGGGTCCAATATTACACAAAATAGACTCTTGTGAGCTTGTAGCCATGTTTGGAGCCGTTTTAACTGCTTTGGTCTCCAGCACTTCAGAACTCTTTTGTTACTCACAGAAGGACAATAGTCTCCCTGTAGGTGATGTAACGGAGATGCTTTCGGCCATAATGGAAGCCACTCTGACTATTCACAAGAACATGTTTATACCATTGCACGGACATCTGAAGGGTAAACTTGTATCTGATGGCTAGATCAATTCCATTTTGGTTGTGCGGTGCTATTTATGTTGTGAAGTAACAAAAAAAAAGAAAGTTAAAGCTGGATAAACCTTTCTGTTGAGGGGTCTTATGTTTTGTTTCATTCGCAAATGTTTAACACACAAACCCTGCATATGGGCCCGGTCAAGCAGAAGTTTACAGCAAGGCCAAAAACTCAAGTTAATGCATCTGAT